TCTCGGTTCGGGGTGTCATCGATGTTTTTATAACTTATTTTCTAGCTCTAACGACGATAAGAGAATCTGCCATAATCAATAGTGAGGTCAAAGATAGACAGTATATTGTGGACAGTTCTCTCTTGATATATCTTATTATATTTTGTATGTTCATATGTTGAAAATGTAAGAGTATATCGAAACATTAAAAAGCAGGAGTAAATAAAAAGAACAATATTTAGCTCGTAGCGAGGAGTGCTAATTTATATATTTTTAAAATTATTAGATGTACTCAATTTTTTAAAAAAGCTTAAAAATAATTTAAATCTTCTTATATAAAATTTGATGTCATTTTATTTTAAATATAAATTCTAATAATTATAAATTCAAGAATTAATATAAACTAAGCAAAGTTAATTTAATTGTTAATTAAAGATACGGTGATTTAAATTTAAAAGTAAACTAAACCATCGTGTGAAAATATCTACTGTCCGTTTCAAAATATAATGCGTTCCACTGTTTTTTGAATAACTTAAGAATACAATGAACTAGCGACCTGCGCTTTTCACCAATCGAAAGAGGAGGAGTGGGGACGTCTTTCTCTCTGATAATGTATAAGATGAAATCCTTTTAAAACTAATCATATTCGAAAAACATGCAAAAGAACCCATGAAAGTGATCTGTCAGATAGATGAAATTTTGATTTTGACCTTTGATTTAGATAGAGAGACTTGAAATCTATAGTTCAATATACAATGCAAATGGTTGTTTTATTACGTTCTAACGTTGAGCAAATGGAATCATGTATTTACACGCGCAAATAATAGGGAATTTTGTATTAAGTTTTCGCACTTTTTATCATAATAGTTTGACACTTCGATGAAAATGTAATGAAAAGTAAGAAAGCGCATTGTATCTTTAACTATAGATCTCAAGTCCTTCTATCGAAATCAAAGGTTAAAATCCAAATTTCATCTATCTGATAGATCACTTTCATGGGTTCTTTTGCATGTTTTTCGAATATGATTAGTTTTAAAAGGATTTCATCTTATATATTATCAGAGAGAAAGACGTCTCCATTCCTTCTCTTTCGATTGATGGAAAGCGCAGGTCGCTAGCTCATTGTATCCTTGAGTTATTCAAAAAACAGTGGAGCGCACTATATTTTGAAACGGACATTAATACAATAGATATCAACTCATAGCTGAAAAGATATTTGTTC